CTTGGATGACAGGTGTCATTTCTTCCGAGTGAGCCTCGAACCAGTCTGCCTGGCGATGAGTAAGGTGGTGACGTCACGTAGTAGTGAGGGCGGCGGCGGCGGGCGCCTTGAGGTACTGGGGTACTGGGGTACACGCTCGGGACAAGTGGCGGCGGCTGTGGTACCATGCAGGTACGCTTGTGGTAAAGTCACACACAGGTTACTTAGGCGGCGGCACTGCCTTAGTTCGCTCGAAGTCACTCACAACGATCTTTGTCACCAGGGGTTACCTCATACCAGTCTGTTTCGCTCTGGAGATTTGTCACTTTAGGCTTCTGAACCATATATTCACACTCGTGATTCTGGGTGAGTGTGATATATTTTCCAGACGCTGAGTTAACTTGACGGTGAGGAATAGACGGTGTTCAGTCTATTGGCCGGTAGACAGAACAGAACACGTCCACTTTGCAAGAGATCCCTCACAAGAATGATTTTTCAAGGGCTGCCGGCATCTCGTGGCACCCAGCACAAAAGAGTTACAATTTGACCAATAGCATTGCAGCAAATGGGCGGGAACCAATCATATTAGCTCGTTCGATGAGCAGTAGGAGGAGTGACGTCATGAACACGTCATAGCTGTTATTTGCCATCGCGCCGGTTGACCCCAGAGGTCAGACGCTAGCCTCCTCTCTGTCCCACGCGGGCACCAGCCATGTACTCACTGACCCTTTGGTGGCAAGTATGCTTAACTCCCTGTATCTACTTCCTGCCTGGACATACGGCGGCCTCCATATTATAAAAGTGTTCCTGGTTAAGTGGGCATTCTGGAGATACCCAACATGCCAGGTCACTATCCAGGGTTAACAGAAATAGGACCTTGTGCACAAGATCGGTGCACTGTGCACAGCAATGAGCCATTCCAGTCAGCTGTGGGAGAATCTTGAGAGACTCTCACACCCCAGCTGGGCCAGGGAGAGCTTCCTCGAGTGCACGTGCAAAATCTTCCACCTTGTCCTGATTGCGGGTCTTGGTGGTGTCGATGCGAGGTCTGCCCGCCTTTTTCAAGTGGTGAATCTTTTTTGTTTGCATCTTGACCCTGCAACATACCAAGGAGTGGTTGGTGTCACAGACAGCACTCTGGTAGCTACGCGTAATCTTGACGCTGGGTAGACTTGCACGTCTGGTAAGAATCAGGTCAAGCTGGTGCCAGTGCTTGGATCTGGGGTGTCTCCAAGAGACTTAGTGTTGAGGCTTTGTGCCGAAGAAAGTGTTGGTGACAGAGATCATGATGGCAGCAAAGTTCTAGCAGACGTTGCCCATTCTCATTCATCCTTCCTATGCCGAACTGACCCAGACAAGTGGGCCAAAAGTTGTGTTCGGCACCCACTCTGGCATTGAACCAAGTCGCCGAGGATGAACAGTGGCTCCTTTACACGGATTCTCACTATGGCTCTGTTGAGGTCATCATAGAATTGTCCCTTCGCCTCTGCTAGAGAAGTCAGGGTTAGTGCATTTGCACTAATTACATTGACTGGTCCTGTTTGGGAGTGCAGTTGCAGAGACAAAATTCATTCGGTTTCCCTGTCAGTGGTATAATGTGTCCCAATAGTGCATACCTGATGGCAAATCCCACACCGTGTTCTCTAGTCTCATCTGGAGGTTTTCCCTGCCAGAAGAAAGAGAAGGCCCTCTCTCTCTTTCACAGATCCTGATCCAGGAAGCCTGGTCTCTTTAAGAGCAACGATATCCATCTGCAGTTTGCTGTTTTTCGGGTGTCGTTGATTTCTTGCAGGTCGTCAGAGAAACCTGGTGTCAGTGTCCTGACGTTCCATGTGCCCAGCTTTAGGGCAGTTGATTTTTTTTTTAGGATTATTTGGTATTGCTTGATGCAAAGTTGTCGGGCCGCTTGTCAGTTTTCACCCTAAACCCCACGCACCCAGTAAAGTTAACAGACCGTGGCGAGGCAACAGTTTATTGGCTGGGGTTTACCCAGCTTGAGGCGGGCGGTAGCTGCCCAGTGAGGCGCGATGACCCCTCCCACCGTCGGAAGCAACCCCTGACGTCACACTCTTCGCCAATCGAGCAGAAGACTTAAAACCGGTAGACTGTCGCTTCCCGTGTTGGTTCGACGCTGTGAGGCAAGGCTGGAGTGTCCTCTCCAGGGCGCAAAGACTGGGTAGGTCAATATGGATGAGAAGCAGTTACCCATGCAGCAGGTGCCCTCCTCTCTACATTGCTGAAATTACCCTATGGAAAGGTAAAAGCCAATACACATGGTTTCAGCACCATCGCAGGAGCTGCCAGAACTAGGTCGAAGCCAACAACGAACTGCCTTAGGGTCTCCAACTCCGGATTTTTTTCTTGAGGTTGACTCCTGAAGCCTTTCCCAAAAGAGGGGTATGGCCGCAGGGCAGCGGAGGTTTAGAATCAGGGTTTTCCTTTCCCTAGATGAGCTGCCTTCCGAGGCTATCGAGTCCCATCTACACGGAGCAGCTGGTTTTAAGGCACCAGAGGCACGCCCTCGCACCTTCTCCTGTCAGTAAAAGCAGTTCCGCCGGACTTAAAGACGAAGCCACCTGTGCAGGCCAGGAGTTGGACTTGGTTGTCAGAAGCTATTTGAGACGCACGCCATACAGGAGCTTTTTAAGGTCATGGGGAGCTCGTCCCTCATTACCACCCCCTGGCTATGACAACCCTTGGAATTATAATCCAAGGATATAACCAAATAATTTGGTTACATCGTAATTAAACGGTTCACGTAAAACAATACATTATTGGGCTATTCTACTTCTAATTGGCGTTAGTTCAATTTATGAAACGGACTCAAGTGTTTTTGTTGAATGTGGCCTCGGTACCCCACTTCCTCAGTCACGTGTACTTAGTCCCAGACTGGGTGATAATGGCAGCCTTGTGGTCGAGTAGTATAAGAGTCTAGATATCACTTCATGTGGCGTAGTGGTAAAACACTCGCCTGACATTTCGCGAGTGCTTTGGCCTGGGTTCGTATCCTGGCCTGGGAAAGGATTTACTGGACATCAATCCTTAACTATAGACTCTGTTTACCCAACAATAAAATGGGGAACCTGGTTGTTAAACGATTTGGTGGCTCGTATTTGGGGAAAAATTAGGATTAAGGACTTGCCCGAAACGCTACGCGTACGAGTGGCTGTACAAGAATGTAACAACTCTTGTATATATAAATAAATAAATAAAAAATAAAATAAATGTAGTCACAATTTACCTGTCGTAGCTCAGTCGATTAAGGCAGTGTCTGGGTTGGTCCCGGACACAGGTTCGAATCCTCGTCACGGCCCTTGTGGATTTGTTCATTTATCCTAAAATATGCTGATAACAATTATATCACAGGAGTGTGACTCATGAACAATCAGTTGTTAACATGGGTTGATTCTTACCCTTTCGGGTGTGTGTGTGTGTGTTCCCATGCAACTTAACCGGATAACCAATCTGTGAGCAATATGGTCATACAACAAACCAAATTTAAAGGTTAACCGGGTGATTTGCACCTCACTCTTGTGTCGCAAAGTCGTGGCAGTAAATATACAGCAACTCTTTCTTGTATTGGTAAGGTTCACACTGTGTTCTTGTCTCACGGGAAGTTATTTTCTTGTGGTGATCCAAGTCTCTGTGTACCAGCCATCAGAGCAACAATGGCGGTCCCGACCCTCATCCAGCCGTCCTCCCATTATGCGTTTTCTATTAAGAATCGCAAGGAGGAGTTTGTTTTAATTTATTTTATAACTTACTATGCAATTAATTTAGGGAACTATTTTTAATCTATTTTCACCCCTAAGACTGATGATTTTAGTGTAAAATTAGTTAGATATGTTTTGGTGTGAGATGTTGACTACGCGGTAATCATTAATCCTGTTTTGTGGAACAAAACTGACAAATACTCGAGCTCTGTTATGACTAACTAATTTAAATTTGTTTAATATTTAGTAACAAAGTTTATGGTAAATTCCTTGGTGTCCTCATCGATAACATGCTGAATTTCCAGGAACACATTCTAAAAATAGCCAAAAAAGTTCCTAAGACTGTTGGCATTCTTTCTAAGATCAGATATTATGTACCCCGCCCTGCCCTGGTGACTCTCTATTACTCCCTCATCTATCCATATCTCAACTATGGTATTTGTGCTTGGGGTTCTACTACCCAAAATCATTTACGTCTTCTAATTACTCAACACAAAGCTGCTATTAGGACAATATCCAACTCTGGCCCCAGACATCACTCGGTACCCCTACTCAAATCTCTGAATATGTTAGACATTAAGTCACTGCACATTCTCTCACGTGTACTCTATATATTAAAACTCTAAACTATAATGTCAATCCTGATCTTTAAAGCTCCTAGAAGGTTGTAATAGAACCCATGAGCACCACACCAGAAACAAATACCTATTTAATATCCCAAGAGTACGACATAATCAAACTAGAAATGCTCTACAAATCAAGGGACCCAGAATGTGGAATGACCTTCCCAACCATGTTAAAGACTGTACCTCTCTCAACCAGTTTAAGATAAAAACTAAACACTACCTAATAAACTCCATTTAGCCTACCTTACTTCTAAATGTCAACTCATGTTTTACTATTTTAAACAATGCTGTTTGTTGACAAACTTATATAATTGCTGATTTCTGTCATGTTCTCGCCTTTTTTCTTTTTTCAACTCGATTTATACATTAAGCTCAATTACTTTTAAGTTTTAGTCTAAGTGTTTTTCCCCTCACCTTGCCTGAAGCGCTATGCGTATTAGAGCTTAAGGTATTGTATGTACTAGCTCTATTTTTAAATCCAACATTATGTTTGTAACTCATCTTCAATGTATGTATTTTTACCTGAATAAAAAATCTAATCTAATCTAATTTAGTTAACACACTTCAGCAAGGATTTTATTTGCATATTGAATTAAAATGGATAGATAGTGTGGGCAATTTCCAACAATAATCTTTCTATATCTGATAAGACCTTCAAGTCAAGAACGATGTGTTCCCACAGGCGTGAGAGCCCCGAAGTCACTTGGCTCCACCCAGGCGACTACAGGGTGGCGCCCATGATAGAACACCACAAGAGGGGAGACTTGATCATTGGCCTCACCCTTGTCTTCAACTCTGACAAGCCATTGGACCGTGAACTGGTTTATGAAGCTCTTACACACTTGTACAAGTAAGCTCTCGATATATATATATATATATATATATATATATATATATATATATATATATATATATATATATATATATATATATATATATATATATATATATATTTTGTGACGGTAAAGCGTTGGTGTTCGGCTGTTTCAAAAGCTAGGGGCAGGGCCTCGTCACATAAAGAAAAAAAAAAGAGAAAAGCTGGAACTTTCGTCTGTGGTAAGGTAATGGGAAGACACACAAAACACAAGTGAATTTAACAATGAAATTTTAATTACGTTAGAAAAACAAGACATGAATAAAATTGAGCATAAAATATAACAGACAAGTCAACAAACAAAATAATAAGAATAATCACTGGCAAATGAAAAGTTACGTTAAGACAAGTGAGTAATAGCAAAGTAAATAAGAATGATGATGCCGGAATATTGGCTTCGAGCTGCCAACTCCCTTAGTACACGTAAGTCAAGGCTTAGTCTACCAATGAGAGGTGTCACCTGCAAGGAGCACTGGAATATTCTGCCTTCTCTGGGTCGCTGCAGCCCAGACATCAACTTGTGGCGGAGGGTGGTGGGGCAGGTGCGACTGGGAACCAGCCAATCAGCGACAGGCAGGCGATGGACAAGCAGTTTGCCGGTTAACGGTGGCGGAGGCGAGCAGGTGCGCCGGTGGGCTGGATACGTTTTGCTCTCTGGGCAAAACGTTTTGGAGATACTTGCTGGATATATCTTCTATATTATCTGTTGATGTGACGTACTTTGGAGGGAAGAGCAGGCTCAATCTCTCTTGAAAGAGATTATCGTCACAATATATATATATATATATATATATATATATATATATATATATATATATATATATATATATATATATATATATATATATATATATATATATATATATATAAAACCCCTTTTAGGTTTAAAAAAAATTGCGAACCATAGACCCCCAGGAGCTGAAAACTTACTGGCGAGTCCAATACTCTGACCACCTGACCACACTGACTGTACAAAAGAAATTGGTAGCCGAGGCTATATCCCCATTGAACTTACAGCCTTTGCTGGTCACAGATCACAGTTCAACTTCATCAAACCAGTTCACTTATCTAAGGAAAAGACGAGCTTCCTATGTACGATATACTTGCATAAACTGCAAGGCAATTAATTGTATTTGGAAAACTCTTCCTCGTGAAGTCTCCAAGCCAACATGCAACCGAAAATGAGTTGCAAATTGACGACTTCCAATCTTTTTTTGACTGTCAGTGTGGCCTAGTGGTTAAAGTACTGGAAACGCTAAAGTGTATGGAGTCCTGGCTGTCTGGGGTTCGAATCCTTCAGGAGTGAGGAGTTTTCAGTTGCATATTAGCTTGGGAACCCTTCAAGCTTCTTCGCATATATATGTGTGTATGACAATGTCAGACCACGGAGGAAAATGAAACAGGAATTTCCTTAAGTACTTTTGTATATTAAATACATCTTCAGAAGGAATCAGGAATTTAATATACGAAAGTACTTAAGGAAATTCCTGTTTCATTTTCCTCCGTGGTCTGACATTGTCACATTCTTAATCACGTGTTTATTTTCGTGATATACACACATATGTGTGTATGTGTGATATGATCTATACTTCATATGACCTGACCAGGATTCGAACCCAAGACTTCCAAGATCACCCCCAAACGAACACAAACCTGGAGATGCAGGCAGGAGTGGAAGGGAAGGTACTCCATTGGATAAGGGAGCACCTAAGTAACAGAAGACAGTGAGTCACTGCGGGGTGAGGTCTCAGATTGGCGAGACGTCACCAGTGGGGTCCCGCAGGGTTCAGTCCTTGGACCCATACTGTTTCTTATATATGTAAATGATCTTCCAGATGGTATAGAATCATTCCTCTCATTGTTTGCTGATGATGCAAAAATTATGAAGATGATTAAGACAGAGGAAGATAGTATAAGGCTACAAGATGACCTAGACAGACTGCACGAATGGTCCAATAAATGGCAACTAAACTTCAACCCGAGTAAGGTAAGGTTATCTTACCTTACTAGGTCATGAAACTAGGCAGTGGAAACAGGAGGCCAGACACAGGATACAGAATGGGAGATGAATTCCTTCATGAAACGGACAGAGAGAGAAGGATCTAGGAGTTGAGATCACACCAACCTTGTCTCCTGAAGCCCACCTCAAAAGAATAACATCTGCGGCGTATGCAAGGCAGACTAACATCAGAACTGCCTTCAGGGACCTGTGTAAGGAATCATTCAGAACCTTGTATACCTCATATGTAGGACCAATCCTGGAGTATGTGGCCCCAGCATGGAGCCCGTACCTTGTCAAGGACAAGCCGAAGCTTGAAAAAGTTCAGAGATATGCCACAAGGCTAGTCCCAGAACTAAGAGGCATGAGTTACGAAGAAAGGCTGCGATAAATGCACCTCACGACACTAGAAGACAGAAAAGTAAGGGGAGACATGATCATTACCTACAAAATTCTCAGAGGAATTGACAGGGTAGATAAAGATAAATTGTTTAACACGGGTGGTATGCGAACAAGGGGACACGGGGAAACTGAGTACCCACATGAGCCACAGGGACGTCAGAAAGAACTTTTTCAGTGTCAGAGTAGCTAACAGATGGAATTAATGCATTAGGCAGTGATGTGGTGGAGGCTGACTCCACACAGTTTCAAATGTAGATATGATAGAGCCCAGTAGGCTCAGGAACCTGTTCACCAGTTGATTGACAGTTGAGAGGCGGGATCAAAGAGCCAGAGCTCAACCCCTACAAGCACAATTAGGTGAGTACATTACCATGACCACCGCACCATTGTGAGAGAATTGAACTGACAATAATTAGTATTCTCTTGTGTGTTACAGCAAGACGAAGGCGCTGAGGACCTGCTTCCGTGAACGAGACAATCAGTGGTGGTATTGTCACATGCCAAAACCTGTTATAGACTTTAAGGTGATTATTGCTCATGTTTATAAACTGTTACCACCATGTCAGATATGGGAAAATATATCTAAATCAACTTATATTATTTTATACCTTCAGGTTCTCATATGAACGATAATGTACTCATGTTATGAGAGGGAACTGAAAGGTACTTGACTGTAGATGACTGTCAAGATCTGTTCATTGTTTCTGTACTTTTACTATCATGTTTTTATTTATTTATATATACAAGAGTTGTTACATTCTTGTACAGCCACTAGTACGCGTAGCGTTTCGGGCAAGTCCTTAATCCTATGGTCCCTGGAATACGACCCCGCGAAGAATCGTTCTTACAACCAAGTACACATTTTACTGTTGAGTTAAACAGAGGCTACAGTTAAGGATTTGCGCCCAGTAAATCCTCCCCGGCCAGGATACGAATCCAGGACAAAGCGCTCGCGGAACGCCAGGCGAGTATCTTACCACTACACCACGGAGACTGGTATAAGAACAAGAACATCCTACTAAGAACATAGAACATCCACTAAGACTAAGCTAAGGAAACTAAGAACATCCAACGAATATCACACAGCAGGATGACTCAGAAACACACATAACCTCGATGACCAAACCACACACCAATGGTCCAGGGCGACTAAATAATGGTTCAGGGCGACTTAATAATGGTCCAGGGCGACTTGATAATGGTCCAGGGCGACTAAATAATGGTTCAGGGCGACTTAATAATGGTCCAGGGCGACTTGATAATGGTCCAGGGCGACTAAATAATGGTTCAGGGCGACTTAATAATGGTCCAGGGCGACTTGATAATGGTCCAGGGCGACTAAATAATGGTTCAGGGCGACTTAATAATGGTCCAGGGCGACTTGATAATGGTCCAGGGCGACTTAATAATGGTCCAGGGCGACTAGATAATGGTCCAGGGCGACTAAATAATGGTTCAGGGCGACTTAATAATGGTCCAGGGCGACTTGATAATGGTCCAGGGCGACTAAATAATGGTTCAGGGCGACTTAATAATGGTCCAGGGCGACTTGATAATGGTCCAGGGCGACTAAATAATGGTTCAGGGCGACTTAATGTTATACTCAAATTCTGTCAGTTGAAATGTAACCAATCACAGGCAAGTAGGCCTCTGACGTCATGCCAGACAGAGGAGCATCAAGCATGCTCCCAGCAGCCTCAGTTATCCTCACAGACTCAGAGTAGAAGGACCTCGGCTAGGCAGTTATACACCTGTTTGCCTCACTCAATAAATATATACAGAAGCGCTACTGTGTCTACATTCTACCCGAACAAGGCAAACGAATACTGGTAGCAGCAGTGGGATCCAGAAATTTTTTTCTGGAAGCAAAAGTTCAAGTACCCAGCATCGCCTCGTGTTCCAGCCAAAACCGCCGCCACCGCCACCGCCATAAGCCGCCATCCTGCCACCCACGCATCAAATATTGTGCCAGACCGGGGTCCTGCCATCAACCACTACTCCAGGCCAACGTTTCAGAAGTAAGGATCAATATTTTCCTGTGAGAACGGGCACTCATCAGTGAGGAGGAAGGAAGCTTCCCGCGCCAGCCATTTTTGAACCTCGCGCCACCACGTGGGAACCACCTAGTGCACCCACCACCACCACCACCGCCACCCAAGCTGACAGTATCAAGCTTCGTGAGGGTGCAAGCTACTGCAATCGTCGTCAGCCATCGTCGCAAGTATCAACTGGTTATTCCATCGTCGCAATATTGTCGTCGTCAGAATTTATCTTCGTGCTTCTAGCGTGAACAGTGTGGGGTCCCTGAGTCTCGCGCCACCGCCGCCAGGAGCGCTGCCATCGCATCCAGTTTGTAAACACGCCTCACATGGGCCTCTTCAGATCTTCACGACGCTTCTCCTACTTTGGCTACTGGTGATCCTCATAAATTACAACCCTGAGATAAGTAATTGCTAGTTGAGAACAACGTGCCAAGTGTTAAAAAGTGACTTATGTAATAATTCCCATAATATCCTGTGAATTAACCATTCAGTGACTTGTTAAATATTGGAGCCGGTTTAGTACTCCAGAGGCCCACAGTTTCTCTGAGACATTTCAATATTCCCTGCATATGATTCCATTATTCATTAATTGTTACTAGTGTCATTACTGAATTCAAAGGTGAGAGAAGTAAGAAATAATTGTTCTAGCAGTTTATTTTGCATAAAAGAAATTTGTTTTTGAGATTTCCATAGACAATAGAACATAGAAATTTTTTTTTATATTTCTCCAGACCTAACTTGAAATTTATCCTTTAAGCATTTTATTTTAAACTTTTACCATAGGAGTTATATACATTCCTGTGTCCAGTTTATGTGCTACATCCATATTTCTTGCATTGCCACTTGTTGTGTTGAATCTTTTTAATGAAATTTTGCAATTGCATTTCCCAGTTTTTATTCTAAATTGCTGTGCTTAGTCTGGTTTAATTAATTTACATACATCTAATTCCAGTCATTTTTTAATGAAAGATTGCTAAATTTAGTTTACAATTTGCTTGTTCTTAATTATTTTCTTGCCTAGCCCAATTTAATAATTTTATTTCTGCCATTTTTACTTTAGCCAAGTTGATATTTTTTTGTGTTTATTTTTGTGTATACTATTTCTGATGCCAGGTGCACTTAATTATAATCTGCGTTCAAATATTACTTCCACGGCTGTGACAATGCCTACCACTGTTGAAACCCCTTCAGAATCAATGGGAACAGTTGCTCGTCCCAATGGCCAGAGATCAGCTCAGGAAATGGCTATTCCTCTTTTTGCTGGGGAATCGCGTTTATTAGAATCATGGTTTAGTAAGGTTGAAGCGAAAACAGTTGCACGTTTTTCTAAGCCTACTGATGCCGAATACTTAGCAATTGCACGGTCAGCCGTGGACACAACCAAAGGTGATGCACGTTTTGTTGTTGATGAGAAAGCCATTGTTAGCCTCCAGTCTTGGCCTGAATTTAAGGATTTCTTTCGCCGTCGCTTTGTTAATAAAGGAGACCTTGACCCATATAGGTTAGTCAAGAAAATTGCCAATGCCACCATGCAGCCTGGTGAATCGTTTAATGCGTTTACTAGCCGTCTCGATCAGTATCTGTATGCCTTAGTTTCTGCTATGAATAATTCGACTTGGTTAGATAAAGACAATAATCTGTCCCCTGAGGCTATGGCTAAAATGATAGCATTTGGTACTTTAATGCATTTTGCCCCCGAGCATACAAAACCAATCGTTGAGCAACAAAATTTTGGTGTTAAACATGAAATTGGTGAAGTATTTGAGGCTATTAACAATGCCGCAGATAAACTAGCTCCCCGAAGTGCTCAACTGTTGCCACCCTCTGATGCTGTAAATGTAGTCACAAGCTCTCAGCATCCTCCCACAAATTCTCAAAACTCTTGGTCGCAGAAGCGTACCCATGCTCGTAGCCCCCAGTCAAATTCGCCGCCTCATAAAATGCCGAAACGCCATAGTCCACAACCATCCACTCCCTCATGTTGGCATTGTGGTAAGAGTAACCACCTTGCAAGGGACTGTTGGTCCGCCCCTAGATCATCACCTCCTAGACAATTCTCTCGGCCCCCTCATCAATCTAATCATTCTAGGCTTCCATATTGCACGTACCATAAACAAGTTGGTCACCACACTGCGGATTGTAGAGCTAGGCAAAGGACATCTCCACCTCGTAACTCCCATGGTCAGTCTTGGCGAGGCTCACAGCGTCCAAGACATTATCAGAACTCTCGTAATTACAACTCCCAGCCCAGCTATAATGCAACTTCAAATTATAATGCTCAGTCACAGAATGCTGGAGCTCAGAATGTTCACTCCATGTCGTCGGGAAACCCCCAAGGCCATCCGCTAACCAATTCAAGCTAGCCAATCCTAGTGCCCTCCCTGTGTATTCAGTAGCTACCCAAAATAGATTTGGACACTTGACAGAGGAGGACACTGACTCTAGACCAGTTGTAGATGTTGACGGATCCACAGTAAATTTGACACAAACAAGACACAGATATCCCAGACAACGTAAGTCAAAAATAGTAACTTGTCCAGTCTCAAGTGATGGTCCCCTTGTCTCAGCCATTGTACATGGTAGAGTTTTAAAAGTTTTTCTTGACTCAGGTGCAAAAATTAATATTGTCAAGCCCTCAGCTCTTAGAGACATTGAAAGTATGCACCCTACTATTTTAAAACAGTCACACATACCTTTTCTAAGTGGTATTTCAGGAAATAAAGTAAAAGTTCAGGGTGAAATTGACCTCCCACTCAAGTTCAATGATGTCACATTGTCTATAACATGTTTAGTTGTTGACATTATTCATTTTCCTGGAGACATTCTCTTAGGTCTGTACACCATGATTGATGAAAATATTGCATTGTTTCCCCATCGTTGGAACATAAGTATCAAAGACCATGTCATACCCTTGTGTAGCATGTATCGACAGGGCCACGAGTTCAACCTTCAATCAGATTATGTTAATTTTGTTGACACCCGCCTTGCAAGCGTAGGTTTGTCAGATCATTGTCGTGGTAGCATACCCGAGAAAACAGGCACTCGATTGAAGCATAGTAGTTGTGCAGTTGTTAAGGAGAATGAGTATCGGGACTTTCTGGAAGGGGACGCCCTAACGGATTCTCGTTGTCTCGCTCGCCTGGCAGCTTCCATCTCTGAAGTCAGTGGTTCCACGGCTACTGACACTGTGTTACACCCTCATTCTCTCACCAGAATAAGAGTTAAGGTTCAGGGAGTGCCTGAGTTGTCGGATGTGATTGCGGAAAGTGAAACATGTAAAGTGAATGGTACATTTGTTGAACCCTCCTGGCACACAGTGCAGGATGGTACTGTCTCACTTTTTATCGCGAACACAAGTAATGCCGATATCCATCTCCAGTCTGGTACCCATGTTGTAGATTTTGCCCATTACTCGTTACCGGTGCGAGTTGTGGATGATGTCTCCATGGATCATACTGTTTGTACACTCACACCAGGAGAACAGGGATCTCAGCCAGAGGTGCAAGCGCAACACCTCAGTCCTACTGATTTTCCTGACTCTGTGGCTCAGCTTTTGGAAATTTTGAACAAGAATAGAGCTGTTG